CTAAACATATTTATTTTTAATTTGTCCTGCTGGTGCATTTTCCCTCAATTTTTCCTATTAATTATAGCCATTCAACATTACAGTATAATTGAAAGCCATTATTTTTAACATTTAATAGGCTCTGAAATATATAACAACTTTTAATTTAAGTGATTTTAAAACAATCTTCACATAAACTATATTATATATGCATAAACTATACATATTAATCTTTATTCACGCTATAAAAGTTAATCAGCGACTAGAACAGTCCAATGATTTCTCTTTTTCTTTTGTTCTTTGATTTACATCAATGAAAGACTTCAGCAGATTTCACTTTAAAAGCAGCGCTGTCTCTTTAAAACCTGATGCATATGACGCGGATCTGACACATATCCGACTTTCTCCCAACTCTTTACGGTCATTTAAGACTTTATAACTCACTACGTTTACAAGGTAACTCGCCAAAACCGCATATTTTGACATAATTGTGTGTTTTCGTGCGTTGAAGCGCTACTGGTGAGCTGTCTGAAGCGGCTCAGTGTCTGTGTACAGCCGAACGTAGCCTACTTCACTGCACCGTTTAGGCGGCATAACCCCAGTGTCGCCGCATTCTCGGGTTATGAAGAATAAAGAAGGGAAAAATTAATCTTCTGAAATGAAGCAGCAAAATCTTCTCAGGCAAAAGTTATTAGAACCGTGTCTAGGGACAAGCTGGCCATCACACTGCTCTGACCTTATCAGTCCGTTTGTATCCTATTATTTGATTCGCTCTTGTCGCTTATGACAGAACAGCTAATCACGATGATCTTGTCTTCGGACAAGATTATTTTATTCGCTTATGTCAGAAAAAGCGAATCTCTTTAAAAACGGGCTGTTGTTTTCACTTCGTTGCATTGTTATAATTCGTAAAAGTTGTACCCGCCAACTGGCAACTGACACGGTTACATGGACTCGCCAACGCTGATTTTTACTCTCATTTAGCGCTTGGCGAATGTTAATTTTAGGCCCTGTATATATATATATATATATATATACATATCATATCATTGACATATACATTTGCTCTGAAATGTTTTCAAATTTTTTTTTTAAATCAGCAGAATCACATAAATTTAGACAGCCATTATTCCCATTAAGATTAAGCATTTTAAATGTTAACCTGAACAAGTGACACTTAGGAACACAAAAGAAGAATCATCCCTCACATCCCTCACAACCCCTTAAATATGTGTCACATGACACATGCTGTTTATTCTTACAAAAAGTCTTTGGGCACCAAATTGGTGTTTTTTTTTGTAATACTGAGCTTCTATCTTGCAGTATGCAGTTAAAACATCATAGCACCTAATGAAAATGTTGATGTGAATGTAAATTGATTTTTCTGAGAAACTACTAGCATTAGCAGAGAGATTCTATAAACTGTGTAATATTATAATGCAGCAATATAAACCATCACGTTTGCCTTTCACAATCACAGTGATGTATGTCGGCTCTATAATTATGTTGTCAATGCTGGTGGACGGTAGTTTATAGGCCTGCAGCTGAAGCATCTACTTCTGTCCAGAAAGAGGAGAGACTCTTGGCTACAGCTGCACTAAAGCATGATGGGAGGAGACAGCCCTCCACTCAGGCTCATATGTAACTGTCTCTCCTCATAACCAGCATGAAGCCTCTCTTTCTCACCCTCACTCCATATTCTTCCTACAGTGAGAACCTATGCCACCTGTCTTTGACATATAAAGTCTGAGACAATTAGTGAGGAAGCTTTTAATTTGCATTTTTCTAATTTCTAAATATGTATATATATATATATATATATATATAAAAAGTGAAAACTGAACAGGTTTAGTATTATTATAAATTTTAAAAATTATTATAATTAAAAGGCAAAATATACAATACATAAAACAACACAAAAGAACTGAAAAAATGAAAAGTTTATATAATAAATTATCATTTTGATACTTGCTTCAATTTTTTGAATACTGTAATAATAACATTATTTATAGTAAATAAACTGAAATGTGAAAAGTTGAATTAAAATGATGAAAAGCAAAAATATTTATATTAATTGAAAATTTGAAAACAATCAAAAATCTCATCTCTGCTTTAATTTTTACCTCAGTATTTATATTCTCAAAAGCTCTTCAGTTATTCTCAATGACCTAATGCACAACTTCACACTTCCAGTCCTGCTTTGCTGCCTTCAAACCACCCTGACCCATTCAGCCTTTCAATAGGGGGACGAGTATTCAAGGATAGATTCAGCCTTCCAGCGGCCATCAGATTGTGGGATAAGAAGCTCTTGAGGGCACACACACATACACGGCACAAAGGTGAGCGAGGTCCCACACCCGGTCTGTGCCTAATCTTAGGTCTGCTCTCTCCTCCTTCTGTGAAAGAAAAGCCTGAAGGATAATAGCGGTCTCTTCAGTATGTAAGGGGGCCAGGCAGCCCCCACAGATAACAGTCCCGCTTTTATATTCACTGAGAGAGATGAGGTAAAAAGGGGAAACAAGATTCATGGAAAAGAACAGAAAGCTCTTCATAGAGTTCTTCCTATCTAGTAACGCAGCATGGGGTAGGAAGGGGTGTTTTAAGTTCTCTTAAAAGGGCGGCTGAAGGTTCCGGAAAGTCTGCAAGGGTAATGGCACTTGCATATGCGACGGTGCCGCATTCGAAATGGCCCTGACCTTTACTTGTTAGCTCTTGCGGCTGTGCTCAGGACTCTTGAGGGGCTGCGGGATGGCGGGACCCCAGGATTGTTGTGCGCCGATCGATGCGAAACAAGTGGCCTTACAGCACTCTGATGTGGAGGGGAATTAATTAGCCGACCCCGGCGTCTGGAAGGACGTGGCAGCACACAGTACAGGATGGCAAATTGCTCAAATTCTGTGCCATTAAAGGCCCCCGTGGCACACCCTAGGTGGTAGCACTACTTTGCCATTAAACACCATTACTGATAA